ATATAGGACAAATCGCGTTCCTTTTCACCTCAACTTTAAAGTTCGACCTCCTCGGCTGTAATTGGTCCAGCCCAGAGTCGATCGTGACCAACTGGCCAATCCACCACCATTCATTTATACCGTTAAAAAAAGAAAAGAAATAAAACCCCATGAGCCCATAAAAACGGGCATACCGGGCCCGGTATGCCCGATGGCCAGTCCAGCTCTGTCCACAGCGACCACATCAGGACTATAAATAGCTCGTACACGGGGGTCAATGGTCAATGGTGGTCAATGGTAACTTTATTGTCCCTAACGGGAAATTGATTTGCAGTATGTCTGTACAAACAAACAAACAGACAACCAACACATCACATACACTCACCAAAATAATATAAGCCTGATAAAACAACCTAGATTTTTCATCGAAAAAGTGCAATGTGCAATGGCAACAACACTTATGGTTTAGTGTTACTAACTATGATAACAGCAGTAGGTACAAAAGACAATCTATGTCCCTTTTTCTTCACTGCAGGCACTTTATAACGACGACCTGATGGAAGCAGTTGAAAATCATTAAAGAGAGGATGATCTGAGCACAACAGGACAGAGGTTGCCTTCCTCAGCACCTGCCTGTTATAAAAGTCCACAAGCTGGACCTGAGACCTCCCTGAAATCTTGCCAGCCACTTTAACCAGGTTGTTAAGTCTGGTCTTATTATTCAGGGACATATTACCGTACCAAGCAATGATACAGAAAGTTAAAACAGATTCAATCAAACTTTTATAAAAAAAGAGTCATCATTTCAGATGAAACCTCCTTAAAAAGTACAGTCTTTGTTGAACCTTTTTCACTGTAGCAGCAAGATGTGACTCAAAGGACAGAGTCTTATCAAGAACAACCCCCAAATACTTATAACTGTCCACCAGTTCAATGGCTGCACCATTTACCACTGTTAGCGCAGGATGGGGGGATGACTTCCTGAAGTCAATAACCATGTCCTTGGTTTTCAAGGTGTTAATCATTATTAAGAAGGACTGATCACACCATGAAACAAACTCATCCACAACAGGCCCATGGGAATCCTCTTCACCATGAAGGAGGCTTACAATGACTGTGCCATCTGCGTATTTAATGAAATGCCTGTTGGCCTGTGTACTGCGACAGTCATTAGTGTACAAAATACACAGTAGAGGAGAGAGACAACAACCTTGTGGTGAGCCAGAAGAAGAGTTCAGCTGTTTGGAAAAACAACCGTTTACTCTCACACACTGAGATCTGTCAGTTAAAAAGTCTAAAATCCAACCAACGAGATTAAAATCAAGTTTAAACTGGTTAAGAAGCTTATCAACTAAAAGATGTGGCTGGATAGTATTAAAAGCTGAAGAAAAATCAATAAACAAGAGCCGAGCATGAGCTTTGGCGCCATCAAGATGGCGATAAAGGAAGTGATAAAGGGTGGATGTCAACATTAGAGCATCAGTAGACATAAAAAAAGAGGTCACCTGATTTGGAGACAGAAAATTTTTAGATTTAAAAAAGATCACTGCAGTCTGAATTTTGGGAATGGTGTGTAGCTTTGTTTACAGACAGACAGACAGACAGACAGACAGTTCTATCTATCTATCTATCTATCTATCTAAAAACACCCATAAGTGAAATCATAACAACTATTTCTGCATGCGCCTGCCTCTATAACCACAATGTGTAGTGTCATAGAGGCAGGCACATGCAGAAATACTTAATGGCTGGAGGGTGATGAAAATTATGATCTTCATTTCAAAGGTGAGAAAAGGAAGGTGAAGACGAGAACAGAAGACTAGAAGTAGTGTAGAGAGAAGGAGGTGAGGTTGAAAGATGAAGGTGGTGGGGTGATGGCGGAAAGGTTAAGAGAACTACTTGTTTAAAGGAGAGAGAAGTGGAGAGAGGAGGAAAGAGTAGAAAATTATGGCTCAGCCTGAGCTGAACCTTCATCTCCTCCACCTTTGTGTTGCTGGGAGATTTTTTTGCCTTTGGAAGCAGCTCCAGATGCAGCTCTAGTTCGAGGCTTTCTTCTCCTGCTCTTTCACCTTCTTCAACTCTTTTACTTTCCTTTGTAATGTTTCCTTTGCTTCTTTTTCCTGTCTTTTCAGCCATTTGAGGGCTTTTTTACACTCTCTCTGTAAGTTCAGTGTCTGCTATTTCTGTCTTAATTCCCATTACTTCCATCTTCTCCTCTACCAGTGTTGTCTGGACTTCCAACAATTCCTTCTTTCCATTTTCAGCTTTCTTCTTTGCACACAGTGTAAAGAGTTTGTCTTTATAGAATGTTGTGAGTTTGTTTACTGAGTTTGTCTATTGTCACCTTCTTCTCCTTCAGGCTGCTTCACGTAGTTGCTCTTTCAGCTAGCAGATTTTCAATGGCCTGCATATGTCTTTGTGAATCCTCTTTTAACTGGAAGTTCTCAGCCTGGGTTGCTTCTCAATCAATCCACAGATGATAGTTCGTGGAGCAGCGCTCACCAATCCTGTTGTTCACCTGGAAATGCAGCTATATTAGAGAAGTTCAGAGGGGTTGATGCTTTCTTCTTCTCACGTTGCCCGTTAGTTGCTTGTGCCCACTTCTCCTGATCTCCTGAGTCAGGGTGTGTCAGTTCAGCTGGTAGAACGATACCCTGGGTGTGTTGAACCTGATTTTTATATATTTTATTTATTGTTGACTCTATTTAATTTGTAAAATATGTGTATAACACACACACACACACACACACACACGTAGAAAAACATTTAGTATACACATCCAGAATTTTTTTTTTTTTGCATATACTATTATATATTGTACATATATTTATTAGTTTCAGATTTAGCCATTCGTATATTTTGCCTGTTTATGTTATTGTATTTTGCACAACTCTTGTTGCTTTTTTTTTTTTTTTTTTTTTTTTTTGTTGCCTGTCCCGTTTGGCTCTTTTGCCATCAGAATTGATTGTCTAAAGGCAAAGAAAGATCCCAACGGATTTTACTTTACCAAACTGACCATCCCAGCCTTGCCGTAATGGTCCATTTGATTCACCTTTTATTGTTTATTTTATTTTCACTTACTGAATACGGGACAGACTTGACTGGGGGAAAGAAGGGGAGAAAGAAAGAGGGAAAGAGAAACAGCTGAGAAGAGGGACGGGGGAGAAGGGCAAAAGACAAAAACCAACAAAACGGGCAGAGAAAAAAAAAATGCATCAACTCTGTTGCTTGTGAAGCTCGCGCACAAGAATTTCACTCACATGTGCTGTACCAATGTACCTGCACATGTGATGTGACAATAAAAGTGATTTGATTTGATTTGATTCATACCACAGGGCTCAGAGTTCTGCTGAACAGTCTATTTGTTCTAAAGTTTGAAACATGCTCTGCCTACACTGAACAGTACACCAAAAACATAAAAACCTCTACTGTTGCCTAGCAAAAGCAGCTGTTGACCAATGGATGCTGTGAAAAGTTTTACTTTTTTAGGTTGTTTCAATGTTTATGAAAGAAGACATGTCCAAGTATCCCAGGCTGAGATGGAAAAGTAAAATAATGCCGGACAGTCACTGCAGGAATTAACATCAGCCATTTAGTTTTCTTTAAACAGAGAAGCTGGGTCCACCTCAAGCAATCGGCACATTATTTCCTGCATTCTGGTGAACTTTTCCCCCAAATGTAATTTAACAGCTCAGAAGTGTTTCAGCTTATTTCTGCTCATGTTCAGAACTTTCTGTGCTTTGCACACAGATCTGAGTTTTAGGACTCGCGTTCATCTAAACAAGTCTGTCTCAAAACAGGAAGCACAGAAAATATTATCCTAATAATAGGAAAATAACCATCACACCAATGTCACACTCTCGCCCTTTACATACTAGCGTCTCCATCACTGAGATCATAACAGCGATTTTTGTGGATGTGCATGTTTGTGCACGTGCTACTTCATCTAAGCCTCTGCACACGCACCAGATGATCTTTTGCTGTGCAGCTTTGCACTCATTCTTCATACTAATAATCATTTGTTCTTGTTATTCGCTGTTGGTAAACGCTCATTTGGGGCCCGCTGATGATTATGAGAAAGCGCCTTTCACTGGATGCCTTGAGCATCAGTGCTATCTGTGCACACCTCAATAAAAAGCATTTTCCCTTTCTTCTCTCTTTCTTCTCCACCTCATAAATATTATACAGTACAAGGCAGCAGAGAGCGATATGTACAGCAGCAGATAAGAGACGCACTGTTTGGGTTTAACACTTGAAAGTCCAAACTGACGTCAACTTGCTGATGTGACTGAACATATCTATTAAAGTGGCTCCTCTCTGAAGTGTGCCCACACATTCACTTTCTCTTGTTTGCAAGTTTAAAAGTCAAATATAAAAACAGCAGGTCCAATTGTTTATCTTGTGTGCTTGGAAAGGTTTGCATAACCTGTTGTGTTGTGAAATCTGCTCAGATCTCAAGGGTCAAAAAGAAGAAAGAATCTTGAGATCAAACTATTTAACAAATCCACCTGTCACCTGGCTGACCTTCTCACTGGCTGCCTGAAATACACAAAATGATGTTTTTGTATTTTCAGATGTTAAAGTAGTTTAAGTGTTATATTAAATTTTCTTCCTGACTTCACCTGCTGGCTTCTCATGAACTCTTCTCATGAATGTGTCCCTTTTCCCAAGGCACATATTTCATGTTTGTTTTCATTTTAATAATTGCTTTATGGATAACTGACAAATTCAATATTTATTGTGCATGTGCAGCAATCTTTGAACATGCCAATCTCCTTACCTCAGTCGACATTTTGAGAAAGACTTTTTTGTTGTTGTTGCACAATGATATCTAATTTAAGAATTTCTACTTTCCAAACATGGCATTACATCCAAATGATGACTACGTGAATATGTTTGTTGTTTAAAGGTCAGAAAAGAAAAGGTGATGCTTTGCAATTGTTTTGACCAGCAGTCCAAATACTAGAGTTAAGTTCAATTTTCAAACCTGTCAGAATCAAACTAATTCAGTGATCACGTACCTAAGATGGCAATGACTTCGTCGTCCTGGATGACCTCCAGTGACCCCGACACCACGAAACAGAGGGTGTCAACGCTCTCCCCGGCGTGAAAGATCAGGTCTCCTGGAGCGCAGTGGGTGGTCTGAAACTCGACTGCCAGTGAGCGCAGGCAGCCATCACTAGCTAACCTGAATGCTGGATGTTCGTTGAACACCTGAATAAGAGAATCAGATTGAAGAGTTAGACTGGGAAAAAATGACCAGATAGGATGTGGTGCATTATACTGCTGAAAGAGGCCACAGCCATCAGGGAATAGGGTGTACATGGTCTGCAACAACGCTTAGATAGGTGGTACGTGTCAATGTGACATCCACATGGATGGCAGGACCCAAGGTTTCCCAGCAGAAAACTGCCCAAAGCATCACACTACTACTGCCAGCTTTCCTGTTTCTTTTCAGCACTGATGACAGTTTTTAGACCAAATTTTAAAGCAAGTTTTTCTTTCAACGCCTTTGGATTGCTGACGCTCGAGGAACACAGACACACTACAGCAGGCTTGGAGGGCTTTCTTTGAAAAAAAAAAAGTTCTCATCTCATAAGTGGACAAGAACACTTTAGATTCCGTTGCTTCCTCGTTTTACTATCTGCAGAAGTACACATTTTCTGATATCCTTGAGAAAATGAAACTGCTTCCACCCGGTGAGATAATCCATCAGAGCACCAGGGGAAGATTTTATTTGGTTTGTGCAAGAGTGTTTTTATATCAGTGCTCCTTGTCAATCACCTGAAGCCCTCAAGCAGAAATGTAAGCCTCCATCTGAAATAATCACTCAGAAGCACATCTCTCAAACTTCAGTGTCGCGTCTTTGTGGTTTCGCTCTTGGAGTCTTGTTTTGCCAGGACAGCAGGCAGCACACCAACAGCAAATTGCAGCACAGTTTAAGGGATACAACACCTGAAATGTATCTAGTGTGGCACCGTTAAAGTGTTCACATCATATTATCAGCTGCTTCATATTAAAACTGAAAGGGAAGAAAAAAGGAGAGGTTCAGATTTTTCCTGTTTTCTTTTTGTTAATCACTTTGAAAAAAATGTGGGGCTTGATTTAAATTGTATTTGCATCTTAACCCAACCTTTGTGGGGGGGGAAACGATTTAATGGACAGGACAGGACATGAAATACTGGTAAAAGTAAACAAAAATCTTATTTTTTTTAAAAAAAACAACTAATTCCACTTCTTTTGTGAAATAAAACCAAAGCACAATATCTTCTTCCTTTGAAACTCCTAAATGACATCCAGCTTTAATTTCCTCTTACAATTAAACAGAATGTCTTCTTGTCCTGTTTCACAATCTTTTATCATAGTCAAACATCCCTGAAAAATTAGATGTATTTCAAACGAATGTAGTGCGTGAGCTTTATTTCAGAAGAGACACTGAAAATCAGCCGTACTGCATGACAAGACTAATTTTAGTAACTTCTAACTGTCATTGGAGACGGTTGTCACACAGCACAATTACCCAACTGAAGGTGTCCTCTGATCACGCCACTTTAGCATTTGACATCTCCTAGAGTTTTGAGAACAATATCATTGCATGTTAAGTGATATCTAAAAGACTCTGAGCACAATTAACCTTCACTCAGTTATAGAACAAAAGCTGATGCTGTATAGTCAAAAAAGCATAACATCTTTCGCTGCTTTGTATATGACCCACGGATATATTTGAATATACAAACCAGCAGCCATGCTTCTATTCAGGCACTAGTGAACTATCCTGGAGATATACAATGATAAGTGGAGACAAACTTTCTTTATCGGAACAAAAACAAAACAGAAATTTTATTTCTATTCCCTATGCCTTTCTCTCTTTCCTTTACCCCCAACCGGTCGAGGCAGCCAGTCATCAAGGAATCATCTGATTGTAGGGATTTCTCTTTTAGTACCATAGAGTCTTTACTTTATGGTACAAGGCACTTTGAGGCAAATGTTGTACTGATTTGTTGCTGTATAAATAAAACTGAATCAAAATTGAACTAAAGAACTGAAAGGTATGCCATGCTATGCCACAGAAACATCATGTCTTACTTCCCATCTGACATAAGACATGATAGTTGTCACTAGCAGCTGATTTTTCTGGAATGAGGGAAAACATTATAAGAACAAGTGTGTAATTGCTGCAGGTGTTTGACTTAAAGCTGTGCCAAAGCCTTGACTCCAAGTTTATGCCCCAGCAAGAAAAAGACTCTGTCCTCTCTCAGCAGTGTGCACACGCCTCTCTAATCTCAACTTTGTTGCCAACCATATTGAAAGGTCTGCTAAAGTGTAGCTATTAAAGAGACTCACTCAGACACATACGGTTACATATCATAGCAGGAGCTTATTTTTCACTACCTTGAGACACACATTATTGCACCTTTCATAACTCGATTAAGCATTGTAACAGAACTGATGTATGGATATATGAAAATAACTGCATACCTTCCTGTTGAGATGGACACAGATGTCGGCCCGCATGTCCTTGGGACAGATGGATAAGACCTGTAACACAAGAAACATGAGAGGATGACTAACAGCACCTTCCTGTTGTCCAACGGCTTCCTTGGTGACCTTCTCTGGATGGATACCAGGCATCCAGCTAGTAGGAGAATCCCAAGTAGACCCTGAGATTATATGAACCTCATTCGACTTGGGTTCTCTGGGTTCTCTGGATTTCCCAAGTCTTGAAAATGTTGTTGGGGAGATAGATTCAGGGCTGCCTTGCTTTGGTTCATCTAGGCTAGGCAACAGACATTTTTAAAAAGAGGTCAGCGGTCAGGGACAGCTACACTGTAGCTGTCACCTTCCTCTGTCATACTACATCTGTCGGATTGTCAAGTAATTCAAAGTGTTAAGAAAAGAACGTTTGAAATTCAAACCTAAAGACAATAGGAAATCCTTTAAGCTGCGTGATGTTTGCTTTCTGCCTTCTTATTGTTTTTGCAGTGAGACCTGTTGCATTCCTGTTTTTATTCTCAGACCACCTAACTAACTCTGCATGATTCACAATTTAAAAACACATATCTTTATTTCTGTTGTGTGTGTCTTTACTCAACCACCCCAGTTCATGTTCTGTCTTAAGCAATCTGTAATAGCTCCTGTCTTTTAAGGCCACTCTGCCCAAAAACCTACTATTTCTGTGCTTGGCCGACTTCTGTATGCCTTCTAGGGGCAGCAGCCAGTTCTTGTGAGCTGTGGGCAGTAGTGGCATCACCTGGATGTCATAGGTGTGTTGTGCCTGGAGCAGATGACCGTATCACTGAATGTACAAGTATTCCCTCTGAGGTTTTGGCTCACGAAGAATACTACATTTGTTGGCCTCATTATTAGAAAGCCCATTTTATCTGATTGTTCAACAATATGAGGATATGAGAGAAGCGTAACAAGGTTCCTTTTAAAAAACTTCTTATTGATGCCATGTGGCTGAGGAAGGGATTTGGAAGATAAATATTTCAACGCTCAATGCAGTGTTTTAGATTATGACAAACATGAGGTGTCTGTGCAAGGTGAAAGAACAATATATGTGCATTGAGTTTATTGAACATTGTTGCTGCAAACAGAAGCTAAATGGTAAATGGGTTTTTTCTTATATAGAGCCTTTCTACTCAGTTTGAGCACTCAAAGCACTTTCTACTACAAGTCTCATTCACCCAATTACACACAAAATGCTTTATCTGACATTCACACAGATGCATCCTGGTTCAGTATATTGCCCAAGGATACTTGAGCACAGGGCTGTTGGTGCTAGGGATCAATCCAACAACACTCCAGTTGGCAGACACCCACTGACCACCACCTGACCCACAGCTGCTCCATCAGCCTTATCTTATTTTCATCCTGGGCAGTGTATTTGTAGTGTGATTGACTTGGATCAGTAGAAAGTCAGTTGCAGAAAAAGACCAGAGGCTTTCTTGCTCAAGAACACTTCAGCAGAAAGCAGATGCTGTCAGAGAAGATCAAAAACCTCAACTTCAAAGTGAAAGCTTATTTGTTTTGAAACCTGATTTTTCAGAAACTTCCCGTCTGCGTATGAGTGACAGATTTTATATTCCAGTTTGTTTAGTTGCATTCACTACCTCGCAGTGAAAACAACTGCAGCAAAGGCAGACTGTTAATGATAACCGTTTAGTGTAACTCATTACACACTTTTTAAAATCTGTCCCAATAAATGAAGTACTTAGCAAAATCAAAGAAAACAAAATATCATCCTCCATAAATGCTGCCATCTTACTTTTGAACAAAATTGAGGAGTGGGGGAAACTTAAGAGAAAAAAGACATATAAAAGTATTTTATATTTTGTTTGCTCCATTTAATGTGGATCATACAGTATCAAGAAGCTTTTGGGAAACACTGGTCTTTTTTGGGTGTGTACTCATATAAAGAGCTGACTATGAACCATATAATGGCTCCCAAAGTGACAAACTTATCTACTAATTGGTCTCAGCTCTGACAGTGAGGTATTTATCCAGAGAGCAGGAGCAAAACTAGCCTTATGTCTCTTCAAAAGTGTATAATTATCTGGGACTGATGAAGAAGAGGCTAAACTGAAAATAACATTACTGGGAAAGTAAACTAAATGGGCAGAGAAAGAAGGCATGGACAAAACTTGAAAACAGGAAATAAATAAGAAGAAGATTACATGAGGCTTATCTTGGATCATGAGTTTATAATGTGCCAGTCTCCAGTTCAGCCAAAAAAACAAAAAAACAACAGGCTTTAATGTTATTTCATATTTAATAAAGAACATAAAAATAAACAAAAGACAGCTAATCTGTCTAATATCCTCAAAGTTAAATCAAACTGGGGAAATTTCAAATCTCAAAGTCTCAAAAATGGAGGTTCAAACAGTATTATTGCAAAATGCAATATATACATATATGTATGTATACATGTATGTATTTGGTTAATTAGCAACCAAGGCTTAATGTCTATTTGGTACAATTTTAGTACTTGGAAAAGAGAGCTTTTCATCTGGTGTATATCTGGCATTTAGAACAGTTCTGTTCTAAATATTATTTATTATTTAATATGTATTTAATGGTAAATGATGTGGGGTGATTAGCTAACTCTGATATACGCACAAAGTATACAGGTATTGTGGTAGTGTGCTGAAATATCATCATGAAACATTATGCCTTTGGACCACTTTTCTATGGGTAATCGTCATAATGTGAAGATTTTATGTATGTGTGTTCCTTATTTCCTCCTAGATGAGAAGATTGATCTTGAGGAAACTTTGTATAAAGAAAATTAAATATCTAAATCACATATAAAAAATGTTTTATACAAGCTCTACAATCATATTTATACATTTGACAGGTCAGCTGAGTAGAGAATGGAATTTCAGATAAGAATCTTGTGCCATAATATAAGCGTGCACATATTTGCATGTTCTCTAGCCCTGTGAAGACCATGCACTCGCTCAGGGTAGTCAACTTGATGATAATGACAGTGAGGAAGAGTGGAACCCACAGTTTTAAGGTGCAGTTAGGAGGTAATGTGTGTGGGTAAGCACCAACATCTGTATTGGTGTATGTGTGTTAGGAACATAGATAGGACTACAGAGGGGCTCGTGAGGTACCAGGATTCAATGGTACTCCAAAAGTCAGAAATGTGATGTCCACCTCACATTTACAAGCAACTGCTTCCTGAAGTTCCACACATAACGGTTATTAATGCCACACACACACACACACACACACACACACACACAC